AATCCAGCAGCAGCAGTAGTGGTAGTAGTTGCACCAGTAGTAGCAGCAGCAGCGGTGGGAGAGGCGGAGAACCTCCAGAAGAAGAAGAAGAAGAAGACGAGGGAGACTCTGAGCGACGAAGGAAGCGAAACGGCAGCGTCAAGCGCGAGATCGACATCGAGGAGGGCGCCGTCTTGATAGCGTCTTGGGAACACACGACGGATCTCAACGTGCGGCGGAAGGTGTACAGAGAGTTGGACGAGATCGCCGGCACTGTGCGACAGCGACTCGCGCAGAGCGCGGCGGTGGACGGGGAGGAGGGGACAGCGGTGGTGGCGCGCGGGAAGGAGATCGAGGGAGTGGACGAAGGCAGGATTTTGAGCGAGGTCAACACCACCCTGTACGACTACCTCGGGTTCACCGGCAACGTCAACGACTACATGAATCCGAACAACAGGTGCGCCAGACACCAGCGAGCTCATGTGATGTTGCTTTTAACTACTAACCATCTCTCTCTTTCTACCAACAGCCTCATCGACCAAGTGCTGGAGAAGAGGATGGGCATTCCAATCAGTGAGCCCCTCCCTCTCTTTCTGTTGTAGTCGTCGTCTCATTATCACCATCGCCATCGTCGCCATTGTATTCTGTTGGCTGACTTGTCTCCTCCTCTGTCACATTCAGCTCTGGCTTTGGTATACGCCGCGGTCTGTCGGCGGCTCGGTATTCGAATCGACATGATCGGCATGCCTGGTACGATGCTCTCCTACTCTACAAGAACGCCCCCCACTAACCACACAAGTCCTCTCCCCAACACCAACAGGCCACTTCATGGTCAAATACACGAACCCAGCCGGGGGAGAGATTTTTATCGACGCCTTCGCCGAGGGGCGCCACCTGACGCCAGACGTACTGCTCCTCTTCCCACAAAACTCTCACAATTAACGAAATCACTTAATCAAAAATCAAAATGACAATTAGGACTGTCGCGAGATGCTGGCGGCCATGGGCATGACGTTCTTCACGCCCGATCTGCTTCGCCCGGTGGGCCACATCGTCGTATACGAGCGGATGCTGGCCAACCTCCTCGGGGTCTACCAACGCCTCCGCCAGACTGGTACGGGCCTCAAGCCCCACTTCTGTCGGTTTCCCCTCTTTTTTGTCTCTTGCCGGCTCACACGCGGCGCCGCGTGTGTTTGTCTGCGCAGACAAACTGCTGGGCGTGGCCAAGCAGCTGCTCATCCTGCGGGGCGAAAACTCTGCCGAGGATCTGCTCACCTGCGGACGCCTCCACATGCTCCTCGATCAGTTCATCGAGGCCCGGCCGCTCATTCAGCGAGTGCGTACACTTGGAATGCCAGGAATGTCTGTTCCGCTGACGTTCACTCATCAACGCGTTGGCGCGCAGGTGTTGGACACGAGCACCAACGTCGAGCACGTGGAGCAGGCGCGCACGCTAATGGCCGCGCTCGAGGGCCAACTGACGGCTCAGGAAGCCACTCCGCCCAAGCGCAGGCCGGCCGAGCCGGAGAAGCTGCGATTCCGGGTGGGCCAGGTCATCAACCATATTCGCCACGCCTACCGCGGCGTGATCTACGGTTGGGACACCGTCTGCTCTGCCACTTCTGCGTACGCTCCTCTTCGTGTGTGTGTGTGTGTGTGTGTGTGTGTGTGTGTGTGTGCGTGCGTGCGTGCGTGCGTGTTGACATCGGCTATTACTGGTGCAGGTGGATCAGAGAGATGCGTGTGGACGACCTGCCACGGGGCAGAAACCAGCCGTTCTACTCGGTCCTGGTCGACCTGAGGGACAAGCCCGGCAACTGGACCACCTACGGTACCCCTACCGAGCCCACCACCGCCACCACCAAAGGAATTCCATTCACGCGAAGCGCTCCGCCTAGATACTCAAATGTGCTTTGTCGTGTGTAGTGGCTCAAGAGAACATCGAGCTGCCGGAGGAGGCGCGCCCGGTGGAGCATGCGCAGGTGGGGGCCTTCTTTACGCGCTTCGACGAGCAGGCGCGTAGGTTCGTTCCCAACCCGGAGCTGCGCGCACGCTATCCCGAGGACTGCGACGGCGGCGAGGAATGTGCGCAAGAGGAGGATGTCAACGGCGACGTTGCCACGACGGTAGAGATGGCGCCACCACCATCGCCGCCAGCCGGAGCGAACATGATGTCATCGTCATCCACCATGGACGAGTAGAGGTGCCCAGGCCAAGCTCAAACATAAACTCTCCCTTTGCTGCTCACGCAATCGTTATTCAAAGGGCCTAGGTGATTGGTTCGCGGAAGGTGGGTTCAATCGACAACCACACAAGAAGGAGAAAGCCGTAGGACGGAAGTGAAAGAAGAGAGGAGGTGAGACATGCCGCGTTTTTACCTCCGCTCGCCTGGCAGCGCACCACCTTGCTGCTGGCCCTCCTGGTCGCCTCCAGAGTCGCCCAAGGGATGAGTCCGAGCCCCACCCAATTCAATTGACTGACCAATTGATCAGTGTTACCGTTCCGACCTACAGGTGGATTGCAAGACCTGCACAGTACGCGCCTCACACCACCCCCTTCGCTTCATTCTTCCTCCCCCCCCTCATTCATCCATCGCTTCGTTCTTTTGTACTCAACCAGTCCTCAACAATGGGCCGCAGGCTGGCGGCCCGCGTGTTGTGGCTCCGAGGTGAAAAAGGGCAAGTGCATCGGCAGCAGGATGCCCTGCTCCTACTTGCACGGGCCAAAGGACCATAATGACAGAACGTGCAAGAACATGTCATTAACTCATCGTGGAAGTGCCCGATTGGGCGAGGTGATCAGTCATGAACATCACCGGCCATTTCCTGATTTGCTGGCGTTGTAGGGGATCTGCGTTTGAAATGAGCGGAGTTATTCGGCAATAATCTCTTCACCGCGCCACTGTGCCATATCCGCACTTCGTGTGCCGCCTTGTCGTGCGGTTGGTCGTTTGGTTGCGCCGCTCGTCTTGCGTGATGCTACCTGCCTGAACGCCTCCTTTCTTGTGCTCTTCTCTGCGTGCCACAGCTCCTCCCTCTGTTCTCTCTTTGATTGTACCAGCTCCGGAGGTCAATCAAAATACAAATGCACTGCACGACGAGAGCACTAGTTGCCTCTCTGGTGCTGCTGGCCGCAGTGTTGATGGCCAACGCCCAGACCGACATCCCCTTTGACCTCGCCGGCGCCAACTTCTACACCAGCGGCACCGCCTCCATGTCCACCGTACGCCACCCCACTTCCACCCCTTCCTCTTCTTCACTCCTGTGTCGGTCCTACATTGATCCGTCACCACCATTGGCCACATATATAATTTTAACTCAACACGGCCTTTTATTATCTCACTTATTTCTCTCCTTTTTTTATTATTATTATATTATGAGCAGGTCTCGCTCGGCACCGGCGGCCCGGCCGCCACGGCGCTGCGGATCAGCGTCTCGTCGCGACGCTCAATGTGTGGGACAACGGCGTGCAGATCCGGACCACGATGCCCTCCGGCGGCGTGCCGGAGGGCCACTGGTACCTGGTCAAGTTCTCGGTGCGCCAGGTGGCGGGCCAGCCCAACTTCCCGGCGGGCCAGGGCGTGCAGGGCGTCCTCGTGTTCCGGCCGCTCTACCCGGACACGTACAGCAACTCGCTGGAGACCACCTACCCGTGCGACTCCACCAGTTGGTGCGACTACGCGATCGCCTTCAAGGCCAGCGACACCCACACCAACGCCAACCCGCCCGGCTTCATGTTCCAGGTGCCCTGCCTCCTCCCTCAATCTACTTTCTTTTGTTCATCTTTCAATTGACGCATCTTACATCTTTTTCATCTTGTTGACCATCTCGTGTTCTTGGGTGCGCTACTTGCTAGTGGGGAGAGGGACCCCAGACGTTCGACATCGCGATCACATCGCTCCAGTACTACGGCGCTACGCAGCCGCCGTCATCGCTCTACAAGTTCTACTACCCGGGGCGCGGCATCAGCACAGCCGCGTGGAAGGTGAGCGCCAACCAGCGCATCGAGAACGTGCGGAAGGGTCCGCTCAACGTCAAGGTCGTCGACTCCAACGGCAACGCCATCTCTGGTATGATGCGCCTCTTCTTTTCTTTGTCTTTTTGATGAAGAGGATGATGGTTGGGGGTAAGCATGAACCGCTTCGCTACCAGGAGGGGGGGTAGAAGTGGATGAATCAAATGACATGTTCTCCTACTCCTACGCAGGGGCGTCGGTCAAGGTGCTGCAGCAGAGGCACGAGTTCCCCTTGGGTACGGCCGTCGACCACTGGACGATCGCCGACAACAGCAACCCGACCTACAAGGCCAAGATCCTGGAGTACTTCAACTACATCGTCCTCGAGAACGGTCTCAAGCAGGTCTACTGGGTACAGCCCCTGTCCTTTAAACCTTTTATATTCGCAATACAAATTTATGACATATTTATTTCCTAATATGGATAATTTGTTTAAAAATATAAAAACAGGAAGCGGATAATGGAGCGTCTTCGCTGAGCGCTCTGAGCTGGGCCGCGAGCAACAACCTGACCTCCAACGGCCACGTCATCCTGTGGCCGGGCTTCCACTACGATTACACCCCCCAGCGCTACTGGACGATGGGCGCCACCGAGCTGCGTAATGCCATCTACGCCCACGCGGACGGTACGCATCAAGCCATCTCACCTCATGTCTGTGGTCACGTGAAGCAATGCTGATGGCAATGCTGGGTGTCATATTGTTAGACATCATCACCAGGACCAGGCCCTACATCCACGAGTGGGACGTCATCAACGAGCCGCTCGATAACTACGACGTCCAGGGCCAGGTCGCCTCTCCGGGCGTGACCCAGTCCAACGGCGTGCTCGGCAACAGCTTCTCGGCCGACCTCTTTGACTACTGGTATATATATTTCTACATATCTATCCGTGTATCTTGTTTTGTTTTTTATTCTTATTTAAATTGTTGGCTGATTGGCTTGTTTTATGCTGGTGGCGGCTAGTTGGTCCAAGCTGACGGCCGGCGGCAACCCGAAGACGCCGCAGCTGGTGGTGAACGACTACCACGTGGTGGAGGGCACCAACAACCTCAGGCGCCAGTACACGATCAACTTCGTGGCCGATATACGCAGCCGGACCTCCAACATCCACGGATTCGGCCTCCAGTCCCACATCGGCCACATGTTCATCCCCATGGACACCCTCCAGTCCCGCCTCAACAGGTACCACTCAACTCTCGCCCTGGGTCGTGTGCGTGTCGTGTCGTGTCGTGCGTGTCGTGCGCCGCTAACTGGATGACATTGTCAGCATTCTTGCGGTGGACGCGGCGATGAAGGCCAGCGTGACCGAGCTCGATATGGACACGTTCGACGAGCTGTTGCAGGCCGACTACCTCGAGGACTACGTGCGCTTCTTCTTCAGCCAGCCCCGCGTCCGGCGCATTCTGCAGTGGGGCTTCTGGGAGGGCCTCCACTACTGCCCGCAGTGCGCCCTGTTCCGCACCAGCTGGCAGGCCAAGCCGGCCGGCGCGCGGTACCTGGACCTGGTCTTCAAGCAGTGGTGGACCAACGCCACGGCCGCGACCAACTCCACCGGCTTCGCGTCGGTCCGCTCGTTCTACGGCCAGCACCAGATCACGGCCTCGTACGGCGGCGTCTCGCGCACGGTGCCGGTCACCCTCAGCAGCGCCCAGCAGGGTGCCACTGTCACCATTCAGCTCAATACCGCCGCCGCTTCAGCTTCGCCCACGCGCACGCCCACCCCGACCCGCGTTCCAGCGTCGGCATCGCCCACGCGCACGCCAACCCGACTCGCGCCGCCGCGTCGGTCTCGCCCACTCGCACGCCAACTCCGACTCGCGCCGCCGCGTCGGTCTCGCCCACCCGCACGCCAACGCCGACTCGCGCCGCCGCGTCGGTCTCCCCCACGCGCACACCGAGCCCGACGCGCCAGTCGACGCCCACGCTCACCACGACCGGCCCGCACTCGGTGAGCCCGTCAACGGCCACGCCCGGCTCGACAATCACCGTCACCACGCGGGTCAACGTCGGCTCGGCGGCCATCGTCAATGGCAAGGTGGGCTACCACCTGTCGCCCGAGGGCGAGTACCTCGACACCAACAACATCGCCAAGCAGTGGGTGGACTTCAGCCTGGGCGCCTTTGCGTCGCAGACCTTCACCTTCACCCCCACCATCGCGCCCACGGCCCGGGCCGGCCGCTACTGGCTCACCGTCATCGTGTGGGACGCCGACTGGGACAATATCGCGTGGAACACCGACCTGGCCATACTCACGGTCTACCCGCCTGATCCCACCATCGACCGCGTGAGCCTCACCACCAACCCGGTCGCACGCGGCGGCTCCACTACCATCACCTTCCACGTCAACACCGCCACCAGCGCCTACACCAACGCCAAGGTCGGCTTCAGGTATGTACTGAAACCGTTGAGGGTTGTGCGTTGCGTGTTGTACTGTTTAGCTCCGAGCTGCAGCTCACATCACGCGCGCGTGCGACAAACAGCTTTGCTGTGCCGGGGGAGGTACAGCAGAAGATCGTGGAGGAGTTCTGGGAGGGCGACCTTGCGGCGCGCACGTCGTACGTGTACACGTTCGACGCCACCATCCCGAGCGACACGCCGGTGGGCAACTACAACGTCAACATCGGCCTCTGGAACTCCAACTGGGAGGGCGAGGCCTGGTCCGAGAGCTACAACCCGCACAACCCCACCACCACCAACGGCGTCACACTCGTCGTTCAGTAGTTGGTTGCGGGTGATTGGTTACGTGATCATGTATGGCGAGGCCAATGAACTGACGTTCTTGAACAAAGTCTGCTGCTTTATTGGGTGAGTGTTGATGGGGTGGCAACTAGTGGTTGTGGTTTGGCGGCTCATGCCAACGGCCCTGTGTGTGTGAGAGAGAGACGATGGTGACGATGAGACAATGACATGAGCGCGTAACGGAGGAAATGGAAGAAGAATGTACGTTGGTGGCACGGCTGCTGAGGAAACGCTCGGACAAGGTGACGTACTGTGTTTCGGCACACAGCGCCTCGAGGGTCTGGTACGGATTGCGCACCGGTCAGCTCAAGCTCTCTGTAGCATGTCATGTGTGCATGCAACGCACCTGCTTCACCCAGCGCACGGCGCCTGCAGCGGCGACAGGAGGAGACCCATCGTCGTCGCCAACTGGCTGAGCTGCCGCAGCGGCCTGCTGCTGCGGTCGCACGCTGTAGAACACGCGCTTGACTCCGCACGCGCGGAGCCACTCGAGACAGAGGTGGCAGGGCCGGGACTCGCCCAGACCCGCCCCGTCCAACCGTACCACGTATATGTCGCACCCCTTCACCCGCTTGAGTCTGTGGATCAGCGACAGTGAGTTTTTGTTCTTCACGTAGAGAGAAAAGAAGAGATGTAAGTGGTACCGGTGCTTATTGGCGTTCTTCTTCTTGTTCTTGTTGTTGCCCTTCTTTGGGTTCAGAGCCCGCTTCAAAACGATACAGGGAGTTCATTTCGGCGTGGGTGGAGCTGGGGGGGAGGCGATTAAAATGTTGTAAATTTGTGGAGGAGATTGTAACAGTACCAATAGTTCTCGCCCTCCACCCTGCTGCGACGAGAGTTGTGGCCCTTTGCCACGACGTGACCGCCCTTGACGATCACAGCCCCGTGCTTGTAGTGCATGTCGCTCTGCTTCGCCTCCTCTGCAGCGAGGCTGAAAAACTTGTCTATGCGATTCATGGATCAATTAATAACGATTTCAGATGTGTGCAATGTAGAAAGCGTAAGATCAGGACATTCTCTTGGGTCCTCCGTCACCGATCCGGGAGCTTCACTGATCAGCGAAACTGACCTCTCGATTGAAACAGTAGCCATCTCCCAACTGAAAGCAATTAATCCTCGGTAGCTTAGTTGGTAGAGCGCACGGCTGTTAACCGTGAGGTCGCAGGTTCGAACCCTGCCCGGGGAGCTTTCTTTTCTTGTTTCAACGGAAGTCAAGTGGCTGGTGGCTGAAGTTGTGCAACACAACTTTTAGTAAGTTTCCTGAACCCCAATGGCAGCAGGGAGAGACAAAGAAGGAGTGCCAAAAGGCACATGGTGAGGAAGGTGATGGAGGAGAAGGAGGGGTCACCTTTTTGGGCACAGGGCACCAGTTGTGTGGGAGACTGTGACTGGACCATCTTCTGGTGCCCACAGCTATTGTGTGGGGAGAGTGTGTGGGGTGTCTTTCAGTGCCCATGGCTACAGCACAGGGAGATGTGGGGCATCTGCACTGGTTGCATGTGGGGCATCTGCACTGGTTGCCACTTCCCACTGGTGCTGCTGGACAACAGAGGGTGGTGCAGTGGCCAGGCAGAGGGTGGGCACAAGGGGCTTACCCTGGAATGGGAGGCCAAGGGTGCACTGCTGACAGAAGCTCAGCATGTGTAGGAACCAGCCACATGCATCATCAGTAGTAATGAGAGATATGATGCTGTAACTGGGCCATCAGTCAAGGTCTGGAATGACCAATTTCCTATCATGTACATGTTTTGGTACACTTACTTTATCACATACATGTACACAATGACTATGCACATTTTTTTGGTCCTATTCCTGAAGTTAAAATTACACTCCATTCCACACTGATAAAATCACTTTTAACTCCACAAATACCAAGTTTTTATGAAATCATTTTATTCTCCAGTCCCTCAATGTGACTTATAAGCAGTCTAGCATGTCAAAATCACACATGCAATCTAAATCTTCAAAACTGCCCTGTAAATCAAAAATGTCCAATCTCATGATTTTAGCACAACAAAAATTCCACAGTCATTTGTGACCTCTCATTTCAAATGACTGCAAGTTCATTGGCTACATGCTCCCTGCTGCGTAACCCCTGCCAACAAACTTGATCACTGCTGAGTGAAAAGGGAGAGCTCCCCGGGCAGGGTTCGAACCTGCGACCTCACGGTTAACAGCCGTGCGCTCTACCAACTAAGCTACCGAGGATTGCCGACACATCCATGCAAAAGTGGTTGTTCCACAAAGGTCAGTGGTACCAAATCGTGTTTGTTAGCAGTTGGTGAACAGGAGCTTGTTTGGGGTGGCGCGGCATGCCGGCTCGTCGTCCGGGGCGGCCTCCTCACACGCAAGGTCGATCACCCCGTTCGTGGCGTGCTTGCGGAGGTACGCGCCCACCTCGCGCGGCGTCAACTGCTCCTCCGGGAACCGGCTCAGGACCAGCGCCGCCACGCCAGCCACGTGCGGGCTGGCCATCGACGTGCCCGACAGGGTGTAGTAGGTGGCATCCGGCTTGCCGCCGCCGTCGTTGATCCACGCCGATCGGATGTCCTTGCCCGGCGCCGCGATGTTCACGCAGGTGCCGTAGTTGGAGAAGTCGGCGCGCCGGTCCCGCCGGACCGTGGTTGCCGTCGCCGTCTCGTTCTCGTCGGCCACGTAGGTGGCGGCCACGGTGAGCACGGTGGGTACCATGGCCGGCGACCTGGTGCACGCGTCTGAGAACTCGTTGCCCGCCGCTACGCTGATTGTCACGCCCAGGGCCACCGCCGCTGAGGGGGGACAGAGTTGAGATGATTCAAGTCTGTAGGTGGTCACCGGGACAGATGGCGCGGGTACCGGCTACGGCGGCGTTGGCGGTTGGACTCTTGCCGCCGCTAAGGGACATGTTGGCCACCGCGGGCCTGCCGCGCTTCTTGGCCTGCTCCGCGGTCCACTGCACGCCGGAGATCACGGCGTCCCACGAGCCCGCGCCAGCGCAGCCCAGCACCTTAACCTGTGCAAGGCAGAAAGAGACAGGAAGAAGCTATGGGCATCACGAGCGCAGGTTGTGAGTGCGTTTGGTGGTGGAGGGTCGGTTTACGGCGATGACGGTGGCGTTCTTGGCTACGCCATAGCGATGGCCGGCCACGATGCCCGCGACATGCGTGCCATGGCCGTTGCAATCAAAGTCGCTCTGGTCGCCAAAGTTGGCGCCCCACTCGGCTCTGCCTCCGAACTCGACGTGGCTCGTCAAGATGCCCCTGTGTGCGTGCAGGACAAGGATGGTCAGGACCCGACTCAAAATAAACAAAGTTAGTTCCAAAGGCTTGACATACGTGTCGATGATGAAGACGTCAACACCCCGGCCGGTAAAGCCGTACGAGTAGTCGTCGTCCACCCGCGCCAGCTCATGCGTGTCAATGCGACCCAGATTCTATAGTGACGTGTAAATAAGTGTGATACCATGGCACGACGGAGTCGGGGTTGGCACACACGTACCCAAGGGACGTCCTTCTGTTGTCGACAGGTTTCGCTCGTGCGAACCACCTGGTTCTCTTCAACGAGAGCCACATCGGGATGTCGCCTCACCATGTCGAGAAGCCTACAACAATAACGGCAGTTGGTGTGAACATAGAGCCCTGGTGTCATTGTGTGCGTGTGCTTGCGTGTGCGTGTGCGTGTGTGCGTGTGCGTGCTGTGTGTGCATGCGTGTGTGCGTGTGTGCGTGGCATTTTATACCTGGGGCTGAGTTTGAGGTGCAAAGCGCGAAAGTCGGGACCGATGGCGAACACGTGCTTCAGCTCACTGCCGTCAGCCGCGGCGTACAGGGCCGCGCGCAGGCTCGCCACCTGCGTCTCGACTGACCGGTGAAGCCCTGTGGTCAGCCACCATTGCCCACGCAACACTCCTAACGCACTGCTAGGCTGTCGGGAGGTGGTGGTGGTGGTGCGCACAGAGGGGTCGGCTAAGGCCCTCGCGTAGGAGGACGAGGTACTCGCCCTCGACTCTCTGGGAAGGATCGGCAGCCACGTGCAGCGGGGCCAGCTCTGAAGAGCCCAAACCAACAGTTAGCGTGCGCGTGCGTTCCTACGTATTGCGTGTGTGCGGTGAGTGTGTGCGTTGACGGCACGCACGTGTACGAAATCCCCATGCGGCTTGGGCAAAGAGGACGAAGAAGAGGAAGAGACAGGAGGCTCGTTGCATTGTGTAGTGTCGGATGGGAAGTGTGTGCGGTAGGGCGTCAGTGTTGCTCGTTCAGAGCTCCATGGGGCGAGTGGCTGGCCTCTCCGCGTCGGGTTCACCCACGGCACACAATCACCGCGTGGCTATGGTGCGCCCTCTCACCGGTGACAGCTTTGCTCCGTCTGGGGACCGTGTCGTGTGTTCTTCGCTGCATTTTGGGGCGCTTTCTTGGCCACTCAATCGCTCCCCCCCATTCTCCTCTTTTTTGGTGACCATGGCTGGCCCCTCAGGCTCAAGCTGGGGCTGTGGCCAGCCATACCTTACCTTTCGCATGTTGTGCATTCCATTCATTTACATCCAAATAAAAACGAAAAGAGTAGGATTATTTCAACCTGAAAAAAGAATATCAAAATTAATCCACCAACCAATAAAATAAACTAACAAGATGGGCAACCAGCAAGGAGGCGCGCCGAAGAATGAGGCGGTGGCGCGGCGCCTCGCAGAGTACAAGAAGGCGCGCAAGCAGAAGGGCGCTGGGGTAGCCGTGCTCAAGCTAGACTCCTGCAGCCTCACCGACGTCGACCTCGACGCGGTAAGCCCCCCCCCCAAGGAATATATTCTAACTCCCTCGGCCACGGTGCTCAGCGTCGTGTGCGTGTGCGACAAAACAGGTGATGGCGGGGAAGGTGGGGCGGGACGCCCAAGAGGTGATGCTGCAGACGAACGGCCTGACGCGGCTCCCGACGGTGATCGGCCCGGGCGGCTGGTGGCGCGACGTGCAGTTCCTCTGCGTGAGCGCCAATGCGCTGGCCTTGCTCCCGGCCGAAGTGGGCGGCCTGACGAAGCTGCAGGAGCTCAACCTCAACGACAACCACCTCGAGTCGCTTCCCTCGGAACTGTTCTCCGGCTGCACGCAGCTCTCCGTCCTCCATCTTAACAACAACCGGCTGCGGGCTCTTCCCTCCACAATCGGCAACTGTCAGGCACTCAAGGTTCACAGCAATATCTACAATGCACGCACCGCCGCACACGCACCGCCGCACACGCACACGCGCACGCATGCACTGATATGAGAACAGACGCTGCATGTGAACGGAAATGAGTTGGAGGAGCTGCCCGAGGAGATGGGCCAACTCGCATCCCTGAGCCTCTTCTACGCCAACGACAACCAACTTCAATCCCTGCCCAACAGGTATTTTGCCTGTTGTTTCATTGAGGAGGGGCTGTGCTCAACCTGTGTGCATGTGCAGTGCTGCCAACTGGTGCAAGCTGGTCAAGTTCTACTGCAACAACAACCAGCTGGAGCAGCTGCCTGAGGGGATTGGACAGGGCTGGCAAGCAATTGAAAAGCTCTACCTCAACCACAACAACTTTTCTGAGTTTCCAATTGAGGTAGGTGTGGCTTGTGTCTGCCATGTGGTGTCAAGTGAAACTCACCCTTACAATCCCTGTGCCCAGATCTGCAGTCTGGGTGAGACACTGGATGAACTGTTCTTGAATGATAACCAGCTGCCCAACATCCCTCCAGAGATAGGCCATCTCAAGAACCTCAACAAGCTTTACTTGATTGGTAGCCCCCACAACACATTCAATCAAAGTGTTTTCTCTCACCAACTACTTCTAGGAAACAAGTTAACATCAGTGCCAGTGGCACTCACTCAACTAAAATTCCTTGAGCTGCTCTACCTCAACAACAACCAAATAGCCCACCTTCCTACTGCTTTGGATGGAGGTATGCTTTGCTTGCTTGTTATCCATACACCCACTCACACAGAATTCTATTGCCACAGGCCTTCAGAAACTTTTGTTCCTGGAACTGAGAGAGAACCACCTCAAGAGTGTCCCCTACTGCTTACACTCTCTGCCCAAGCTCAAGGAGCTCCACATAGATGAAGGTGTGCTCCATGATGAGGATATTTAACTTTTTACAAGATAAAATGAGCACAAGTTGGTGAACTCCATGTGTGGGGCTCAAGAGCCACCTATATCACAAGAATGAGGCACAGAAGCAGCACAACACTACTTTTAAGTGGTATTTGGAACTCTGTTAAAGAGTAGTAATTCAAACAAACTGAACACAGCAGCTGTGGGCCAAAATTGCGCAGCTTCACTGCAAGGCGAAATAGAAAATGTTCTTCTAAAATAATTTGTGGTGGTTTAAAAGCAGTGTGACAAGACCACGAGCAAAACAAACAACGCCCAACACATGAAGAGGACGCGCAGACAAAGCAACGCAGACGGCGAATTGGGGCAGGTGGTGTCACCCGACGCCGGCGCGGCGGACGATGTCGCCAAGTCGCCCGACCACAAGCGGACCCGCACAGCGCAATCCGACCGCGACGAGGGGGAGGCCAAGGCGCCGGTGGAGGCCGACGTGCGCGGTATCGTGACTGCTCTGCGGGCCAAGCCCGAGTGGGCGCGCAAGGTGGCTGACCCGACCATTGTCGCCAAGTGGCGCGCTGAGGCCCTTGCCCAGGGCGCCTCGGCCAGTTCAGTCGCGGAGGCCCTGGCCCGCCTTCTGCGCGAGAGCGTGGTGGGCGCCGCCGAGGACAAGGAGGCCACGACGGGCGCGGCTCTG